AGTCTAAGGTTACAACTAATCATGGATGCCTTTAAAAATGGCCCCCTGGTTTATGAAAACACACACAAAGACAGGTGCAAAAACGTCCCCATCTTGGTGGCGGGTAACACTAATGTCACAAAGAGAAGCTTRAATAAAACTCAGTCAGAAATTTTAATCACCTACTCTGAAACATCTCATCTGAAGTGTGCAGATGATCTAGTAGTTCTCCTTAAACATGTGAAACTAGATCATCTGTACATTTACATTAATACATCTATACATTTTATTATTTTTAGTCTTTATTTGATATTGAATTTATTGTATTTTACCCAAAACACTCACCAAACATGTGCAATATACCAAACATCATCTCTTGTTCATGCTGTGCACATTTTCTTAATATTTCTATTGTTTATGTGTACATGAGCATGCTTATTTTGTAATCCTGGGTGTTTATACTTATTTTGTTGTAGTGTGCTTATTTCTTTCTTTTTACATTTCTCTGATCTGAACGGTTGCAGCTRTAATACCTGTAATTTTCCTTGGGGATCAATTTTCTGATTCTGATTCTAAAATGTAAGTCGACGTAACTCTTTCCAAACAAATCATCTGTGGMGCCTCGACTTTTTCCCCAACACATTATGTTAAGTGTTAATTAATTCATGCAAACACATCTAGTTTTGCAAATTTCAGCTCTGATAATAGGATCCAGCGTAAAAAAAATGTCAAAGTTTCAGTCTGCTTTTGAAGTCAGTTATACAACATACAYGATTATCGGCACAGCGTTGAACCAAAGAGCTTTCTTGCATAATTTTAAAAGAATATTTTCCCATCACTTAGTCCACTACTTAAAAGAAAATAAAGGATGCAGTTTGCGTCAGAGCTTTCGGAGGATTGTGGAGATGTACAGTAATTGTTTGTCTGAAAATTTTTAACAGATATGTGAAAAAAAATAAATTAACTTAAAATAAACAAGACAGTGGGTTCTCCAGCCAAGTGTTGAATAAGCATCACATGTGGGAGGAAACACCCACTTCAGGTGGCCTTAATGCCTATATATAGTGCTGTAGACTAACAAGGAGAAACCTCAACCCTTCAGCTTTATCTTCCACATTCTTTCTAAAATGAATGCACAATTACATTATTTTGAAATGTTACATCACACTCAAAAAGTCTGATTTTCTAGTCTAACCAGTATTTACAGCACAATCTGAGTGTTGCTCTTTTTTTTTTCACGTGAAATGGTGCTATTAGGACTGAGCTGTAAGTAAAGCTCCCGAAATCCAGTTTTAAAGGCAATCKCTGCCTCACGAAATGATCACAACATTTCCCGATCAGAACATTAAGCCTCGGCGCGGTTGAGAAAAATACAGAGTCGTGACACTAAAACTCACAGCTACGGCAGGCTTTTTATATCTAAGGAGCGGCGACTACTTATCATGCTTGACCTACTTAGATAAAATATAAGAAACACACAAAGTCATATTTTCATTTACACCACAGGCGATTTGTGGAGTTTCGTAACTGACGATGGGATCACAAATCCCCTTTTACAGCCTAGCAAGTTGGGGAATTTGCTCAAAGTATCAATCAATTATACAGCAACTTGATGCTGTTAAGGCAAACGGTGACTTATTATTATTATATTTCACAGTCAAATGTTAAGTTTTTRAAGGAAGTTYGAGATAATGACTACTGGTAGACTACYGCAGATCTGATGGACACAAGTTAGAAATGAATCCAAAGCTTCAACAACACTTGTAAAATCTCAACATGTGTTATTTCACAGTAAG